TTTATGTTTATATGAAAATATAAATTATTATTATTAGACTGACTATGGTTTTACAAGACATTTTCATACTTTAACGAGTGGTTTCTAGACGCTTACCTTCGGAAGCACGGCAGTGAGCAAGTGAAGAGGAACCAAGTCAGATACACGGGTGGACATCCATTGTTCAACTGGTGAAGATAGCCATGCAAATTATGAAAAACCTTGGTTCCTACTTTGTTACTCATCTCATCCTCCTGAAATCCCTGATCACTAACTAGATCTGGGAGCGGCTATAGAATGTCTGGAAAACCAGAAGATGTCAAACGCTGAATAAGATCAAAATTATAATAAAAAGTCAACTACAATGAAAGAAGAGGACTTCTGAATGACTTGAGTCCGACGATTGAGTACTAGATTCTCGCATCAAAATCAATAACAAAATCACCGACAGATAGCGCAAATGAGAATAGAAGCGAGCAGTTTATTTTGAACTCCTGTCTCGAAAGCACACTGGTAAGAGACTAAAGCAGGCTACCTAGCCAAACCCACAGGGCGGGGACATTCACCACTCGCCAGCGTCCAAAAGAGCAAGAGAAGGGTATAATTTCTACAGCATGAATAACGCTCCGAAGAAACGGAATTGCAGTCTTCGACCGAAATCCAAAACGAAACTAAATGATTCCAAATAGAATTATGTTGATAACAGACTGTTGAAGAACGGAAAGATTATTGTTTTATTAAACAAAATGTGTAGGATAAACATGGTACGAACCTTCATATGTGAGGTTGTCCGCTATCCAAACACTATGAACACAATGGCTGGACACAAAATGGTTCGCAGCCGACAATAGTGCACATTCAAACAAAAATGTACAATGGTCCAGTGGACTGCAAACGGTCTAATTAACACAGAATGCAGAATGGTATGTAAAGTGCAGCTTTAGCTTCTAAAGGTACAAATATTAGAAGTAACAACTTTGTTGTTCGTTCCGTCCATCTGCATTCCCTAACTACTAGCCACCCGTGATTTGGCTTAATTTTTATTGTATATTCTATTAACATTAACATTAAGAGCGACAGAGCTGTCAGTGAACGCCGGTTCTCCGATAGAGATAGGAGCCTTGAATGCTACAGTCAAAGCAAGCTAGGGAAACACCAGGACCAGATGCAATTTCCCCAGAATCATCCTAATCAGATCTAGAAACATCGGCGTATATGGTCACGTCGCTGCTACACAGGGTCTTCAGACCTAGGGAAATACTTGAGAATTGAAAGAAGAGCTACTTTGTAAAACTCCTGAATAAAGTCGGCTTATGCCTTTAATAGAGCTGGCGTGTGATAATACTTCTCTCCACCTCAAGCAAAAAACAATTCGCTGCATATCGGAGCGACTAAAAGACGTACTGGATGCGAAACTCCACTTGTAACAAGCTCAATTTATCGAGGGCAAAACATAGGTTTGCCGTTTTGACTTTGGGTAGGACTTTGATATAGTCGGTCGTTAGTCGCTCTGGAAACTGCCTCAAACCTTTATAGACTACATTCAGCAGGTGTATGGTGATGTCAGAGGCCAGGTTATCCACAGCAGAAGTCTCAGTGAAGCTTTTAAAGTGAAGACAGAATTGAGGCAGGGCACCTTACTACTGCCGATGAGATTCTTAATTGTGGTGAATCGGAGCAAGCTGTGAAGAGCTGGGGGACGGGAATACTTTGGATTGACAGGAAGACAATAGAAGATATGTACTCTGCAGATGATTTGCGTCTAATTTCACCCTCCTCCTAAGATCAGCAGTTGGAAGACAACGAAATGGTGGAAGAGGTGTCAGAGGGAGAACTTCCAGTGAACATATGGAAGATAGGGGTGAAGAAGAAACCTAACCCACAACAACAAGCACCAACCGTAATCAGCGAGGGAAAACTGGAGGAAGTCGTCTCTTTCACCTACCTTAACAGCATTATTTCAACTACATGCGGTGGCACGGACGAGGACGTAAGTAACAGCCAGGATTGGAAAAGTAAGGCAGACCTTTATTACTTCGAAATCAGTATGGAATTCCGCTGATCTCAGTGTAAACAACCAGATTCGGATTTTCGACATCAGCAAAGTCAGTTGTTGTGTGTGGTTCAGATACTTTAGTTTTTATACGAAATATAAATTATTATTAATAATACTCGGCATAACATCACCTACAATAAGAATGTTAGTTTGTTTTCCAGACAGGGAATAAGATAATATTTACAGTAATTTTCAGCCATCAGGGTAAGTGATTATACAGCATTCACCCGGGTGCTTAACACTGAATGGAAAGAAGAAGTTCACCAACAAACTATGTGCACTCCCAACACTTACGCAAGCAGCTCTTGCATAACACGCACGCACTTAACGATTATGTACTGACGTTGGTCACCACGACTCACACTAGCACTACCGGTGTGGTGAGAGCTGTTTACTAGCCAAATTGGTAGACAGTAATTTACGTCAATATTTACGTTCCCAAGATTTGTCGTGAGAAACAACCAATCGGAAGACTGTTTGTTTGTTCACATATCCATAGTAATGTACATGAAAACATGTATAAATATGCGTTGATTTCCTTAATAAATGGTCTGTTGCCTGACTCTTGCCTTCTGTCGTTACACTGGAATCCCATAGCGTTTTTCATGTCTTCTGCCTATTGTCGCTGCTGTTGGCCGGAAATACTCAGCACCTAGTGAGGAGGTAAATAGGCGTCCATCTCGACAGTGGCCATCGAAATGGGTGCTAACAGCTGGTGCTCTCACCTAGCATTTCTCCCTCTACACCGCATACAATTTCCGATGACATTTCTGATTGTTACAATTCCCTGTAATATCCAAAACCTTTCCCTGACAGTTGCCAGTACCTATGTAGCACCTGTGGCGAGAGGGACTGTGAGATCGTACATTCGACCTCAAATGATAATGGCATTATCAATCGATAAACAGTCACATGTCCTGGTTAAATTGCATCTTGTCGATGCAACTGGTTAACTCATTAGCTCTACCCAACATGCATTTTTTGACAGCTCGAGAATTAAATATTAGTCTGGACCCTCAACAAAAAAATAATAAGGGTTGTACAGATCTAATCATAAATAAGAAAGGTGCTTTGGCTCCTACTATCTACAAGCCTGTTCAGCTTCTTGTCAAGATGCTACCCATTGGGCCCTACAGAAATTCGTGAGGCATCTTACAGGTCAGCTTGTTCTATGGCTTCTAATCTTCCAGATCTTTGAATTCACTCCTCACTTAAATATCACTTACCTACCTCACACTAATCTTTTTATTTGCGTACTATTATACTCCATCTGATCTTAACTACCTAGGAATTTATTGAAGCTGAAACTTGCTCTTTATTCACATTTGTTGCTTGCTTTAAGTCTGGTTGCTTTGATTAAAAACACAACGATACTAATGTTTGAACAAAGCTATATTTTCATCGGAAACGTGACAGTTTCCATGCTTAGACCAATATGGTTAGCATTAAACATTGCAAATGTAAACTATCATTTCAAGTACTATATAGCTTCCTCTCCTTGTATTTATCTCGTAAATATACTTCCAATAGTGTATTGTTCATAATCGCATTTTATACCATTTTGCAGCTGCGCAGAATTTTCTCCTCTTCCTGAAATAGCGTTCAATCACGTGGCGGCATAGCACTCACCCAGATATACGCTGTTCACTGGTTGACCATAACGATCAGCAGGAAACGGAACGGAGTTTGGGTTGTCGATCAACTTTGATGGTGACCTTGGTAAATGGTTTACAGTTTAACATTTATGAGAACCTGTTATTAAGTCTGCTTCTGTGTCTAGGTACTTTGGAGGTTGAAGGTATCGACGTTCACGAATTGTACGGAGTATACTAACGCAAGATCTTATATCAACAACTTCTATAGTGTTCGCTCTTCGAGTACCAAAGACAAAGCAAAAGACCAGATTTAGTCGTCCAAAGTACGATATATATTTCTGGACCAAATCGCGGGCTGAAGTGAATGCTTAGCTGGCTAGTGATCGTGCACGCACGTGACAAGACGGAGTACCAAATGGCGAGGATTTACGGCTACAGTACATTAGACGATGCGAAATGCAGGAATACTATACTGCAGGACAATGAAACTATCAAGTAACTGCTTCTTCAGGAACTGGCTTTGGTTCATGACCACTGTGTGAACTTCAGTATCGAAAGTAAACATGTTAGTCATTAACGGTGAAATATTCCCAACTCCATCGGATCCATGTCTTTCTTTGATCCCTTGCAACTCTGACAAGCAATAGGGAATTTCATCTCCGAGTCGTGTAATTTAAGAAGGAAAGACTAATTCGCAATCGACTGGTGTTTCAGCACCATCATATTCCGTGATCATTAGTAGGACAGGGAACTAATGGATATATTGAGTCACACAGGATTTGCATTTAGAAGACTTTCATTCTTCTTCTAGAATATAAGTGCTATGAAATAATAGATAGGGTGAATGTTTACACTAGTTTCTTTTCCTTTTGGGCATCATTATGAAGTGAATACTTTTGACGTTTTCCATGGAGAGAATAATTCAAATGAACACTGAGTAGGAATTCAAGAAACATATATATTGTCAATTGTACCAAATGAATTTACATTGGACATTGTGCAAGAGTTTTGTTTAAGTATGTGCCGAAGTCTAGTTGACCTACGTCACGTGGATGTTCTGTAGCTTTACAATTCCAGACATGTTGGCTAGGCACCGAGGTGAGAATACAGTGATGAGGATGTGGCTCACTGAGCATTTACGGACCATGACTCATTGGCCGTTTGAATTACCATGTAATCCCCTTCGTCGCTCACAATCTTACCTACTTTGGTGAGGTCAAGTAGGTGTAAACTTGAGCTATCATTAAAGGGATGTGTGACGGTTGGACATAAAGTTGTCAAAACCCAAACGCATCCGTACAAACAGTAGGCTTTCCCCCTCTCAATAAATACGTGTATTTACGGTATTCTTACGGTTCGGTCTTGTAGCAATGAATGCCTCTTTAGTAATCTGAGTTGAGTTGAACTAAATAGTATTTCCTGTTGCAGGTTGTTACTCCGTTGGTGAGCGCCAAGGAACAGATGAGATCAAGGTGAGTGTAGTTCTTTTTGTGATGAGACATCTTTCCCCGTCTGAGACGAGATGTATGCATGTATTAACTGATCCCTTCAATGTACCGTCCATTCAAACGAATTTTTTAATTAATTTCAGCTCATTGAAAGTTGCAAGACCTGGTGATACTTTGAACGAGAAGGTTGACGATGAGCGCCTTAGCTTAACTTCAGAATCTATTCACATGAGAGAAATGTGATGGTGACGAAAAGGTAAACAATGATGAGACATCTTTCCCCGTCTGAGACGAGATGTATGCATGTATTAACTGACCTCATATTCTAAAACTTCGTTCACTGGACTACATTCTCCTACTTATTTTCAGCTCTCTGAAAGTTGGTGATACTATGAATGGAAAGCTTAACGATGGACGAATTAGCTGTATTCTTAAATTGATTCACATGGAAGTTAAAAGGTAAGTAATGATGAAACATCTTTCCCCGTCTGAGACGAGATGTATCTAGTAGTCTCCTGATTCACTTTTTACTTGACTTTCTCTAATGGCTCGTTTCTTCCACTTTTAGTACACTTTGGACAACTACGTGATGTACGCATGTTATCAATGAACTAAACGTGACTTGCAGCAGGCAATCAGAAATGCATCGGAGTTATATATGCGAACTGTAGTCTGTATGATCATTGTGTTCAATAAATTTTTTGATTGGTGTGCTTATTGTGTTCACATCTAATAGTGCCCCACATGCGTGTTTGTTCACAATGTATACTGACTGTTCAAACGCTTAACGGGCCCAATGCTATTTAGGTTTACTACAGTCTTAAATAGTCATCGATATGCTGACTGTGGTCATTAAGAGCAAATCCTGCATAGCGATTTCACTCAAGGAAACTTGTGTACAGCCCAACGTCGATTGGAGCTAATATGAGCTCACTATCCCCTATTTCCTAAATACAAGACTACGGACTTAGCTGCTAGCTTTATCAGCAGGAAGTGCTTATCATATCACAAGTGAGCGGCATGTGTTTGGGTGGTGCACTACTTAGGTTTTAGTAGGCCATCGGAGTGCGAATAACGTATTTGGTCATTTAGCATTATGGAAACTGGTTGTTAGACTCACACTGACTCTAAATCTCCACTTTGGTTAGCGTAGGAAATTTTCCTTATGCAGAAGCCGTAGTATAGTGTGAAAGCCCAGGCTGGATCGTCACATGGTCCGTGTTTGTTTTCGTCATTCATTGTGGAAATAGGTTGTTCAGAAGTCATTTGGTTCGCTCTGTGTCTCGTCAATGTACCATTTGTTGACGTCTTAATGTGCTTGCCATGTACCTGGTATGTGCAGGTATAAGTTTCGTTCCTCGTGCACGAGCTGACTAGGTCCTTCCCTCGGGCTGCAATGTCTTCGCCCCTTATTTATTCTAGAAAACTAAGTCTCCGGATGACAGCCTATCGGATATCCGAGTGGTTGTAGTTGGTCTCCAAAACATGATCTGCTTTAGTTTGTCATAAACAGTTGACAAAATGAGCCACGGTTCAATGGATTGCGCAGTTCAATTCTTCAGTAGGAGCTCGTTATGTTTGTAATTGCCCATTGGTATACATCTTGGTTTGATGTCACTGCATTGTTCACGTCCTCTCGCGCCTGAAACGCAGTCAGCTCATATAATATTATGCATGCAGGTGGCTGAGTAGAGATGTTAACTGTGTCGGATAACCAAGAGGTCACCAGATCAATCAGACCATTATAAACGTTACCAATCCTACTCTGTTGATCAATGTATCAGTGCGTAATGGAGCAGATAAACACCACCTTTAATTCCTTCACTGTGGCTATTTGTGGTAACTTGTTCCGTAACACCAATTGTTACTGTGAGTAGAAGCGTGTCAGTTGCACTAATCAGTAAACTTATTTTTTATTTTTGATTACAGCTTGATGCCACATCGTATTTTCAGTACAAGTATGGCATTTTCAGCATGGATATCGGTAGCCCAAATTTTGCAGGCCGACCATAGATATCGGATGTGCGTCGGTGGGGGATCGAACCCCGGACCATGTGGATGGTTGGCGAGAGTCCTAACCACCGATATTCTTTGGTTTCTACCTCCTAGTGTAGAATTCTGTCACACGACAGTCCGGAAATGTCAGTTTCGACGTAAACACTAATTCGGTGCCTAATATGTCAGTCGGATAGTGGGTAGTGTGGGTGCCTTATGGCTGGCTGGATTCAACATAGAACTTGGCACCGAAGTGCAGCAGTTTGAGTTGCCACGTTCCAAAGAACACACAAAGGTAGACAAGAAAATGAGTCAAGAGAATCAGTAGAGTTTTGAGAGGTGTAAGAGTGAAACAGAATGAGTAATGATAGAAAGGAATATGAAAGATTACAGAGACTGAATACATCTGCGTAAGCCATTGACAACGATTTTGAGCCATGTCACCTAGTGTCTCCAGCCATTGATTCTTAGAGTCCTGAGGGCCCCAACCCGGAAGTTTGCATCTCCCTACCTGACTCAGTTTAACTGTCAGGGATTTCATGGATTGATGCCATGTTTTTGTTTGGCCACCACTTACTCTTTTCCAACCTGCACCTATATTAGCTAGTAATGCCCGTCGGAGGAGGCGATGGCTAGGCATGCGCAGCACGTGACCTAGCCATCTCAATCTATGTAATTTTATAGCCTCTTCGATTGATTTTCCCTCTTTGCCCAACACTGTACGCCTAACGTCAACATTACTTACCTTATTATACCACCTAACGCGAGAAAGAGATCGTAAACATCTGTGGTCAAAAACAGACAATCTCTTCATGTCTTCCGCTCTCAATGGCCACGTCTCACCGCCATAGAGAAGGACGGAGCGAACTGCTGAGCAGTACACACGTACCTTGGTTGATAGCCGGATGTCACGCCTACGCCAGAGACGGTGTAAGTTAGCGAAAGCAGCCCGAGCTTTTTGGATCCGTGCTGTGATTTCGTCACCAATCAATCCGTTGGTGCTGATACAACTTCCCAAATAGGTGAAGTGGTCAACATGTTCTATCACTTCACTCCCTATCACTAAGCTAGGAGTTGACATAGTCCAGTCCTGTAGCAGCATCTTACATTTTACAGGGGCGAATCGCATGCCAAACATATGAAGATTGCTGCTCAAGGTGTTTAGAAGACTTTGCATTTTGTCAGCGTCCTCCCCTAACAGAACTATGTCGTCTGCATATTCTAAGTCCATAAGACTATTCCCTGGTAACAAGTCGATTCCCAAGTCGTTAAGTTCAGTTAAGGATACTTCCATTAGCATATCTATGATGAAGTTAAACAGAAAAGGGGAAAGTGGACATCCTTGACGGACACCACTGGTTGTTATCAATTCAGATGACAATTCCCCATAAGCCCTTACATGGCTACGTGAGTTTGAGTAGAGTGCCTTGATTAGTGCAATGTATTTTCTTGGCACTCCCTTCACAGTCAAACATTGCCATAGTACCTCTCGATCCACGGAGTCGAGGGCCGCCTTCAAGTCAAGAAATATGGCAATTGTTGGACGCCTAAAAGTGTGTCTATGTTCTAGGATCTGTCGGAGAGTGAAGATATGATCTATGCACCCTCTACCTGGCCTAAAGCCCGCTTGATTTTCCCTCGTTTGTTCCTCCCGAGTTCGGCTTAGTCTGTGCATGATTACTGAGCCTAGGATTTTAGAGACTATGTTCGTCAGGCTGATTCCTCTATGATTATCACATGAGGACTTGTCTCCCTTCTTGAATATTGGTATAATAAGTGACTTACCTCAATCTGATGGAACCGTCTCTGATTCCCAGACGTTACCTAGTACCTTAGTTAGACTATATACTAGTATGTCACCCCCATATTTAAACACCTCCGGAATAATTCCGTTGGGTCCTGCCGCTTTGCCTTGTTTCAGATTACAGATAGCTTTTGTGACCTCACTTACAGACGGCGGGCCAGTGTCTATGTCCCATTCGAGTGTGTGCTGGATGGCGGGGAGGCTCAGTGTGGCTGTAGGCAAGTTAAATTGTTCTTTCCAGGGTTCAAGGCGTCTATCCTGAGAGCTAATTAAGGAGCCATTTTTCTCAGAAATAGTCTCACTTATGATTTGCCTTCTCCCACCCGTTTCCCTGATCAGTCTAAAGAGTTGCCTATCGCCGATGCTTTTTCCATCTCTTTCGCCTTTGTCAACCACCAATGTTCACGGTCCTTGCGGAGACTTTTTGTAAGTTTCCTTTTGTGCAGCTTTCGCTCCTCATTGAATTCGGAGCTCGCCGGAATAAGTCTTGTAGCATCTATCAGTTCGGATGAGGCAGTCGAAATCCAATGGTTTTTACTCACCTTTGGATTTACCTTATTCACAGCTGTATCTATGGCTGACTGAATATTCTTCCAGGCTTCTTCAGGGTGAGCGCAGCTATCGAACTCAGATATGTGTTTAGCTAGTTCTTCCTCAAATAGGGACTTAGTTTCCTGATCGAGCTGGGGGTGGGTGCCTTATGGTAGACGAAGATGCACGATCAAGCCTGCAACGTTCTCACTAGATTAAGTACAGTCCGGTTGCAGTAGTCAGATAGCAAGAGCTTTGACTCCCACATTAAACATTAAAAGTTGAAGAACCTGAATAAATACAGGGTTCTATGAATTGGAGAAACATCTCACTGATGAGTGACTAGTGAGCGCGAAGTGTAAATCAAATCGGAATGCCCACGAACTATATCCTACTGTCTTGTCAACCAGAAGACTAGAATGACAAACATTAGGTAAATTACACAACAACTATGGAGACGGATGAGGTCGTGACCTAACAACTATCCCTAAACAATACTAGACAATTCAGGACGCGAAACCATTACTGTCGTTACCAGGAGAGGGGAACCTAAAAAACGGACGACTTTAAATTGTTTGACATAGGCACTGTGGTATTATGTAATTCCATATTCATTTACTTATTGAATATAACCACCTAAATTGGAAGTGCACTGTCTCGAAACTTGAGTTTTTAGTGCTTATTATTCCTTCCCATTCGTCGAGAGGGTGGTGGCGTGGGACTTGCCAAATGTCCTGGACAAGTGATGAAATAAGTGCATTGGAGATTTCATTGTAGCAGTAGACAAGCTGAAACCCGAGGATGTAATCTCAACAATAGAAATAGCACTAAATGGGCTAGATAAAACAACTGCAGATGAAGTACGAGCTGGCTGACAATAAACGACAAAAAAGAGTGAAATCTGTAATTTGTTGAAATCAGAAATAGAATGTCTAAAAACCTTAAGAGTAACAAAGATATAGTAACTACTAAGTCAGATAGAAGTGATACAAATGGTATTAGACAAATCAGACTATTTGGAGAAGGTTAATACTCACATACAAACAGGATCGTATGAAGGAATTAAGAGATCAACAGACGTGAACAAGATTAAGAAATCCACAGCGAATCTTATATACCAAAGGGGCCGTTTCCAGATGAGTCTAAATGGCTTAGTTTGATGCCCGAAACTAATTGTCCCGGCAGGATATATGGTAATGTTAGAGTTCATAAGTCAGGATGCTCCATTAGATCCATAGATAATTTCAGAAATTCCCCTAC